TATCTTTAACTTTTATAAGTATGAAAATTCATCAACATGAATAAATAATTTAAACGGGATAAAAATTAACTGCACCTCGTTATCCTACCTCGTTAGATCAAACTGCACCTTATCGTCCACCAACCAACGACTAGTTCTAACCTATGATGTATGGGGAAAAATGGGTGAGTATATGTGAATACTCACTAGGACACGAATTAATGGTGCAATCCCAAATAAAAGATTTAAAACATGTGTCAAAATATCATACCGTCATTATATCTTTAGAAATCCATAAGACCTTGGATGACCATATCATACATATCATATCATATCATATCTTTAACTTTCATAAGTACAATAATTCATCAATATGGACAAATAATTTAACTGGGATAAAATCAAGTGCACCTCGTTATCCTACCTTGTTGGATTTCTTAAATTTGGAAGACAAAACTAAAAGAAATCAAGGTTCACTTAATTCTTTCTGCCTCTACCGTATTTTTGCGTATACATACAGTGTAGAAAAGTTATTGCCTTCGTAAGTTATATTATATAACAAATTCTATAGGAAGTGGGGATAAGGGTATTGAACTGTGTGTAGAAAATGACATATTTTAAGCAAAACATCTCTATCTTGTAAAATGAAATATATCATCAACAAATTTATGGACACGTGGCAGCTAGAGATTTTTCAACAAAAATATAAGAATTAAAAAACAATACCTGATAAATAGGGGCGGAGCCAGCCCATCAAAGTAGGGGGTCCCAGAGATGAAGAGGTGTGGGCCCACGGGGCTTCAGGGGCAGCGCCAACGAATTTTTTTTTTTTTNATAAGCTTTCAGCTGTTGTCCATTTACTTTGAACCTCCTTTGCTGATTTTGAGACATCATCTCCACAGTGCCATGGGGAAACATGGCTACTACTGTAAAGGGACCAGACCACCTAGACTTTAGCTTTCCTGAAAAGAGCTTGAGGCGTGAATTGAACATCAACACTTGCTGACCAACCTCAAACTCCTTTTCCCTTATATACTTATCATGCCATCTCTTGGTTTTTTCCTTTTAAATCTTCGCATTCTAATATGATTCTAATAGAAACTCGTCGAGCTTATGAAAATGAAGAACATTCTTTTCTCCTGTTGCCCTTATATTGAAATTTAGTAAGTGTGTTGCCCAATATGCCTTATGATCTAGCTCAACCAGTAGATGACAAGCCTTTCCAACTACCAGCCTGTATGTAGACATGTCAATTGGAGTTTTTAATTTGTGTTCTATATGCCCATAATTGCTGAATATCAATAACATCGCGGTGTAGCAGCGCCACGTTTGTGGCACTGGGGCGCCATCGGGTGAGAAAAAAAAAGGTTTTGAATATTTTGGTCTCATTTTAAATTCAAATCCAACCCTAACTCTTCCAAGACTTTATGATGATATAAATACAACCCTAAATACGACTTTTCAACTACAATTCATCGAGTCAAGAGCAATAATTCAAGGGGACAAGATTCAAGAAATCAAGGAGGCAAAGGCAACTTGACGAAGAAGATTGATTTAACCATCCGAAAATAGTTTTATATTTCTTCTTTTCACGTTTTGTTTATGAATTGTATAGATTTCATGTCTCATATCATGAACTAAATAATTCTTTTAGGGTTTGATTAGCCAAAATCTGAGGATATGATAGGATAGGATAGGATATGATTTCATTTCATTTTTATTATTTCTATGAATTTTTCGTTTCCGTTTATTTGTGTTATTGATTTAATACTTTCGATTAATTGGCCACCAATTGAATGATTAGATGCTAATCAATCATGGCCCTCGAGAGAGGGGAATTTAGGCTTCATCACAACAATAACACAACTTAGATTTGATGGGGATTGAGAGAAAGTGTAGAATCCATGAACCTCGTACCATCTAAGAACCACGATCCTGATAAATCTTGATTTTAATTCAGATAGAAATATTGATATTAATTTTTAGAATTAATTTTTAGCCGACACTTGAGAGAGAGAGGGTATAATTTATATTAGGGTTGCTTTAAACATGTGAAATTGATTAGAGATAACTAGATTTTTGAAAATCATATTTGATAGTTAGGTAAAATTATTCCCTAAGTTCTCTTATATTGATTAATTTATATAACTTGCATTTATTAATTGAATTTGTCACGGTCATCCTTAGGTTAGATAAAACATTGATTCAAAAATTCATTCATCTAGATAAAATATAGGTTACATAGTTATAATACTTAGTATAAAATTAAATTACAATCCCTATGAATTCGATGCTCTAACTCCATTCATATATTACAAAATTTGACACCGTGCATTTAGAGAATAATTTACTAAACGCGTGACGAGTTTTTAGAGGCGCCACGATGCTTACTTTTGTGTTAAAATTTAGCACTGTACATCTTTCAATATTTTTACATAATTTTTTCTCCCAACATCTGATTGAGGTGATTCAAATTGTGTTGGAAAGATAACTCAAATGGCTACAACTTTACTTCAGATAACTTTTTCCAATTCGACCGTTTACTATGTCAAAATGGGTCTCAATCTTCGACTAAAAATCTAGAACACACTTGTGCGGTTGAGAATTGATTTGTGAAAATATTTTGATCATATTTCACTTAATTTTGACTTCTAATTGCATTCGGATGACTCCTAATAATCTTCGATTATTGCTTTGTGGTCCAAATCAACTATTGAAAAGTTGCAATTGAGTCCTTAAACTTTGAATTTCACTATTTTTCGCCATTATTCACTTATTTCTTTCAGTTTAGCCCTCAATTATCAAGCTTCACCAAAATAACATCAACTTCTCCTTGATTCATATCAACATCACTCTTTTCTCTAAGTTTTAAACCATTCACATTAATTCACTGAACAACATTAAAACACATGTTAAAACGTCCTAAAAACTCTTACGTGAATACGTGATTGAAAATAAGTATGAAAATTAAGCACCTAGTTGGTGTCCATTATATTAAAACTCCTTTTGTTAAAACATTCAACTCCTCCTCGGCTCCTCCTGTGTTCTCTACCTCAATCTTCAAAATTGAACTGGCATTCGCGAACTTCAACTGTCCCTCTTTAACTTCAACGGCCATCACTGTTCAAGGCGCGAAAAAGATTAAGCAAAAACTCGCATTTATTGAGGTAAATTCGAGTACCTAGTATAATTTTTTGCTAGATATATTTCTATATCTATGAATTCTTCTGTCTCTTTTTTAATGTAAAGATTTTTAGTTGGGTTTTTATTTTTCAAACAATTTTACATGAAGAGTGTATTATCAAATTATATTTGTTGCTTCAACTATGAGACATTTATTATAGACATGCATTTTTCTTGGTGTTTTAAAGAGATTTTGTGAATGATAAATGTTATATATTATAGGTGCTGATTCTGTATTTATGTTTATTTAGAACATTTATTTTGCGGCTGTGGTGTCCAGCAAATTAGACATGCATTTTCTAAAGTGACAAATTTGCAACGTATGGTTTTAATATATGTGCCGGGATTGGGATTTATGTTTGTTGTCTAACTCTTGGAGTTTTTTGATAAAACTAAACAGATTGTTTGTGAATGTGCAATGTGAGACATCGAATTAGATTTGAAAAAGGGGTTTAAGTGTGCCGCCACTTAAGAAGAGTGCATGCTATTTTAAATTATTTAATACTTATAATTTTCAATATAGTAAACAGTTAATAGATGTTGATATGCAGAAGTAAATTTTCTCCGTTTAAACACAGGTGGTTTTTTTAACTGCACATAGTCCAGTGCATTCATTAGTGGTGGTGTGGTTGCAGTCAAATTCAAGAATATATTTTTTTCTATATAAAAGAACCAACTTAAGCATTTAGCTTCCTTACTTTGGCTTTAAATCACAATGGATAACTGTTTCTGGTTTGCACTCATGATTACTGACAGAAATAGACGTCAATAAAATTCTTTTCATTGTTTTTCTTGATTAATTGCATCTTTGGTTTACATACTTTTACTTACTTCAATTGAGTTCCTAATAGTCTCGTGCCATTTGCAGGATGGAGTACATATACAACATCAATGATCGATGCGATGCGAATGTTACAACACGTTCTAACGTGTCAAATGTGGAGAAAGCTTATGATACATTAGATGATGTCCATAAGGAGGTGTTCTTGAAGTCGTGCTTCGATAAATTGTATGATATCAAGAACATGAAAAAATCTGTCTAACTTCGACAGGTTGTCTTTATCAACGAAATTAACTGTGGTTTTGTTTGGGGAATGAAAAAGTTCGTTTCTCCTTGTACAGTTCACGCTTGTGACAGATTAAATCTTGCTGATTAGAATCAGTACCAGAGTCAGATAAGTGAAAACAATATATTGGTGCATAGATTCTTCCAAACATCTAGTAAGTTGCCGAAGAATGAAATGAGTCTATTGAAAAAGAGATAAAAAACATGGATGAGAAATACAAATTGGATTTAGTTCTTATGTATGAGACTATTATGAGATCTAAAGAAAATAATACATATTTTAATCTTCGGACCTTGCATCTATTATTTATATTTGTAATCGCCGCCTCCCTCTCAATGTCCACTACCTCCATCTCTCTCTCAACATCCCCTGCCACTGTCTCCATCGTAGTGCCCCTGCGTTCGCTCCCTCTCAATGTTACCTGCAACTGTCTCTCTCAATTTCCCCTTCCACATTCTTCCCCGTGGCTTCCCCAAGATGTAGTGAAAATTGGGAGAAAGATGGTAATTACAAATATAGAACATCAAAGAATATTTAGGTTTTGGTTCCTTTGACACTTTAAGGAATGCATGTATCGTAAACTTGAAATTTTTTGTACCCCATGGATATTTATTGAATGGTTCCAAATCATGAGCTATATTTAAGGTCCGAAGATCAGTAGATATATTCTTTTCTTTGGATCATAGCACAGTTTCATATATAAGCACTAAACCCAATTTGTATTTATCATCCATGTCTTTCGTCTCTTTTTCAAAAGCCTCATTTAATTCTATGGATGTAACCTTGCTAGATGTCGGGAAGTATTTATGCGTCAATCTAAGTAGGGGCTCTTTTGTGATGGAGCAAGGTGACCTTCATGTTGGATGGGAATTGGTTAGCCAGAGATTAAAGGATTTTCGAAAATGCATTGTGCTCCCAATTGGTAGCATATCTACGGGACTTTGCCGACACCGTGCTATTTTCTTCGAGGTGATCGCCTACATCCTATTTTCTATTGACAAATAGTCATTTCCTCGTATTTATTTTCCTGATTTCAAACCTACTTCTTTGAGCTGTATATATGTGGTCTTCCAAGGTCATTATGAGTGTTCAAGTGAATATAGGGTTGCTGCATTTATCATATGAACTATACCATTTTCAATTTATGAGTTTCAAATTGAGCTGCTGTTTATTTGTTGGGTTTCAATTATTAGTTGTGATCCTTAGTCTACTTCACTATGTGATAGATATTCTCAACACTATGTGAACAGACGAGACAGATATATCAACCGAGTCTGTCTTACAAAGGGACTTTTGTTTTACATGTGTAGAGAACTTGAAAATTGTTTAATACCTTGCATACCTTGTATAAGTTTTAAAACTTACGATTCTTTAGCTTGGCTTTGTTCTCGAGGAACACAGGGTAGGGCTGGGAGAATTAAACAGGCATTTTCCAAAAATTAAGAATCAATAGCAAAACTAACCCCCTCACAGTACTAAATGGACATTTTACAGTATGTAAATTTAAACGCCACTTTGATTACAAAACAGTAATCCTCCAACTTGCACTTGATGAAAATTCATTTTTCCCTCTACGAAATTCTTGATTCTAGGATCCGTTTGATAGACAAAGATGGAGAATTCCAATTTCATGTTAGTTGGAAAATAAAAATTCACTAAACCCATAGGAATTCGTTTTCCATGAAAACAAAGAAAATGTAGCTTAAAGTGGTACTTGGAATTCGGTTTTCATTTCCACGTTACAATCAAACTGTCAAAGCGGTATTCCTTTTTTTCGGATGTGACATTTTTCATGGAATTCGTTGCAAACAAACAGGGCTTTAGTATAAACAGAAAAGCAATTGAAAGGTTAAATCATAGCTGAAGACCTATACAATTTCCTCTTTAACTTTTGTTGATTAAGTTCAATTTATGGTGTTACAATTCTTTCACCATAGTAATGCAATTAATCATATCAAATATTTCGTCCCTAATCAATAGGAGAAAAATGTAATGTTATTCAAATTTAACTTGACAATTTTTTTTCCTTAATCTTCCTCGCACCGTGTGAGTAAAAAAGTTCACTTATTTTGAAATTAGCAAAATAAGCATGAATATTGTTTCTACTGAATATGCCGTTTATGGGGATTACGGGTTCGTTTGATAGGTAAAAGTGGAAAAGAATTCTAATTCCATGTTAGTTGAAAAATAAAAACCCACCAAACACATAGGAATTAGTTTTCCATAAAAATAAAGAAAATGTAGTTTAAAGCGGTTCTACCTTGGAATTCGGTTTTCATTTCCACGTTGCAATCAAACGATCAAAATGGAATTCGTTTCCTTCGAACGTGACATTTTCCATGGAATTCGTTGCTATCAAACGGACCCTACATGAACTTAGGGATGGGCATTTTGCATTAGTTTGCGAGCTTGGGTGAAGCTGTTCACTTTGATTTAGGTTAATCAACCAAATCGCATGAATTTGTTGATGAATCTTGATGTCTATTTGACTATGAACGTACAAGATAAGATAGACTATATCGGCATTGGCCTACCATGAAAAGGTGATCCGACCATCAAATTAGATCTTTGATTGGATAGAAAAAGAACAGAGCATTTGCGCGAGTAAATTGTCAGGTGAATAACTTGTGTATCATTGCACCTTTCAAACCTGTGCCTGATAGGTGTTTTTACACGTGTTCGAGTATGTAAATGATCATTCGATGCTATCTTCTCCTTTATTCTTCAACAAATAGTGAACTCTCGACACAAATTTATTAGTTGCACAGAGGAGCTCGTAGACGATGATGGTTATTTTGAGGACAAGTATTTTGCTGAATAGGTTGAATCTTATGGAAGTACTACGCCTGAAATTTTATGTGAACCATTCAACTAAAATTGATGGAAACAAATGTTGTAGTCCTTTAATTTTAATTCCTGTCTAAAATAGAACTTCTGGTCGATCCATTACCAATATATTCCGTTGTTCATACTTGTTATAATTGAATCTCTTGACAACTTGTTCATAATGAAATGAATCGAGGTTGATAAGGAGTTAGTTAATGATGCCGGAACATGTAAATGTTTTGAGTGCCTATTTATTTTCGTTTCATGCTTCTAAATGTCTGTGACCCTGTGATTTCAGGTGTCTTCTCTTGGCATTTTTGAAAGAATTGTTTGGATTCCACAAGATCTCGACCGTTTTAAGGGTCATAACATGTACGTAAAATATGTCACTGAAATAGTAGAGACAGGGTTATCATCTGAACATGATGGAGTCTTCAAGCTCATATCTTTTGATTCGGAAGCTAATAATTGCACATGGGGACTAGAAAATGTAAGGGTAATTAGAGAAAAGGCCAGGAAAGGAAGGCCACTTGGCAAAAACAGAGAGAGTGGCGAATGAACACACCGTTTGATTCCCTACTTTCAGTTCCGTTGTATTCTGAAATTTGAACTTCTGCATTTGTTATCTGCTGATTCTGCTCTGTTATATTAATATATCAAGAACGGAGTAGTGATATAGACCATACATTTCAAGCCTAAGAATCAATTCTTTTATATAGGCGAGATGCACGAGTAGATAAGGAAATTTTGTATTACCAATGTAGTCATCTGTGATGTACAACAATTAATGACAGTTTTGTACACCATAAGAGAGTTTGGTTTTAATATTGGATAGTAAATTAGTAATATAGACAATATTTAAGCTTTCTTTAATGTTTTCCGGCATCGACTGATGTATAATTTTTTGTAATTTTTGAGTTAGTGAATTGCTATGGCAAGTATACTTTATTACTGCTTTACTACATTTGAATTGACTGGAAGTTCTTATGCATTTTTCTTACTGTCGTAGCCCGACAGAAGAAGGCCCTCAATGGGTGCCGTTTACTCTGCTTTTTCGACCAAATTAGTTGAACGTGACCGTTGCAGCTCGACATTGGATCGACTTTCCTTCAATGGGTACGCATTGGCTTTTCTGTGACATTTATAAAATTTTTGAATTGTTGTTAGTTTCTGTAAATTGCATCAAAAGATTGTCATCATGTTTTCTGAGTTTCTGCTTAATTGCATCAGCCATTTTTTTAAAAAAAATATTTTTATTGGAGTTAAACTCATTTGAATAGTGAGACATCTCTGCTGAAATATATGCAACATGAATATTACCAGAAAGAGAGAATGAATAATGTTCTCCTGTAGCAAATATTTAAACACTTTTACCCTGTCAAATTTACTGCAAGCTCTACATTATTTGAATGGATTCTTCACCTTTCTTAGGTATAACCTTGTTGTTCTCTTCTACCTTTATGCATGTTTGGCATGCGGGATTGGACCGTTGGATCAAAAAAGGAGAAAAAAAAAAAGTTAAAAACTTATTTCACATAATAGTAAGCAAAACATGTCAGAATTTTTTTCTGCCCAACTCTTTGATCTTAAAAATGCTGAATGAATAGTTGCCATTTTCCGATATTTATTGACTAAGCTGAGAACAAACAACTAATGCATTCCAGTCTTTTAACAACTTTCCCAAACTCGAGCATGTAGTCTATGGGGTCAGAGATGACTACTCCAGGTAGATCCAATACTTTGTTTTGTACAGTGAATTGATGAATTAAATAGGAATCAAATTTTGATACATGTTTCTCTTTCTTAATTCAGTCATTTCTAGTTAAACATGCTAAACATATATCAATTATAAAACCCAACACTGTCTCCTGATCTTGTCCAGTGTAAACATAATAAACCATAAAGGTTCTTTGACTGCAAAAGTGAAAAAATGAGAATTAATTTATATTAAATTAGACAAAAAGGAGTAGATAAGTTGTCTTTTTTTTTTTCCCTCGCTGTTGTTCTTTTTGCTAAAGGCTCCTAACTTAGGGCTTGTGTGGGAGGGATTAAAATCAGATTAAAATTGAAAATATAGCCGTTATTGTTGACTTTTATTAGACGAGTGGGGCCCAATAACGACCATATTTTCAATTTTAATTGGCTTTTAATCCCTCCCGAACGGGGCCTTAGAGAGAGAGAGAGAGAGAGAGAGCATGATGACATATTTGAAATTAAATAAGACAATGAAATGATGAGAAATTGCGGGGACCATTTCATTCTAAATTTTTAAATAGTTTAATCCTATTATTTTTCTCTTTTAGGCCAGCGGTTACAATTATACAAAAGAAAAAAGTGAAAAAAAAAAAAAATGTTGGTTGATGCCTACTTCCCCATTTGAATACAAGGTTTATTTGAAAATAGCTTTCCTTCGTTCTATTTGAATAAACATGTACTTGTATTAGCTTTATATATTATGTATCCTCCTTATGCGCTATCCGTGAATCGAATAGAGTAGTGAAAATGTTTGTATTTTGATTTCAAATTTATCGACAATAAATTATTGTATTATCCTTTTTATATCCTCTCCATTCGTTAACTGTGAATCAAATGTAGTGACGTTTAGTTGATTTCATATATAAAGAGAATAAAAGTGTTGTTACATTTGTTGAAGATATCCAACAGTTTAAACTTTGAAATCAAATGATTTAATTGATATTAGAGCAAGTAAAAGTCTAGAGTATCTACAGTGAAAGAGTGTATTGAGGATAATATTTAAATGATGTATACGGGGACTTATCAAATCATCAAAATTAGCTTTGTTTTATTGTGCCCCTATAATATAATATATTACTTTAGGTTTCCCTATTGCGAATGGCCTTTAGCTTAAAGTTGGTAAAAAAAAAAAAAAATGCATTTGTTTGTTAGGCTTGTTGACCAATCATGTCTCAATATCATTTATTTATTCATTGGCAGCCACCTTTTCGGCGGCTCTTCCCTGTCTTTTCTTCTGAAATCTCAACCCTTTCATTTTTTTTTTTTAATAATCCAGGTATTTCAATTTACATCATACTATATTCTGGACCATCCATTCCCGGTTCCTCAGTGATGGGTGGAGGTTAACCATGGGATATTCCCAAGTTGACCAGGGTCTGTGCACCCTTTGCACTCCTGACGTCAAGGGAGTCTTCATCCATGGATATTACATCACTAAGCTGCTCCACCCAAATTGAGTATTACAACACTTAACTGCTCAATCTAGAAATCGAACTCCCCACCCTGAGGTTGCAAGCCCAACAATGTCCATCCTTTACCAACTTGGATGTGCCCCGAGGAGCCTCAACCCCTTCATTTTAATTGTTTGTCGGCTTGGCTTTACTCATCTTAAGCATCTCATCTTTGTTTATTCCAGCAATGAACTTTATTGAACGTGCGAAAAATATTTATGAAATCGACTTTAAAATTTATTGAAAAAGAATTTAGTTTGTTGCTTTTATCGTATAAGGATCTCTTCTATAATAGTAGATTGAGTAGTATATTTGAACTAGTAGTCTCATAGGAGTGAATGGTTTATTGCACAAGGGAAATTGCTCTATGATTCTAAAGATTTAGGAAAGAAGAGTACTAGAGTTAAAAGTTTACAGATTGCTAATCGCATAATTCCTGATTACTTATGTTTTTTCTTTCATGTGCATATTTCTCATGTATGTTTCCGTATATAGAACCAAGTTCTATGTATCATTTAGAAGTGGAATTTCCTTTTTTCGTTCGTAGTAAACTACAAGAAATCCACATATAACTCACTCCCTATCAATTTGGTAGACTCAAAAACTAAAATCAGAGTTTTTAAGTAAAAATTGATGGATTGTGTAGTTAAAAAGTTGTGGTTAAAATTAATTATTGACTTTGACTTAAATTTTAATATAACTTTTTAATTGAAACAAACATGGACTTAATTTACGAGACTGAGAGAGGTCAAGCCCTAAGCATCACCCGCCCAGTTGGGGATTCCCCCACCCCATGCTTGCTTAGTTATGGGCGATGGCGGGCAGTGGGCGAGGATGACGTGAGGCAAGAAACCCCATTCTCCTTTTACCGACCCGGGGCGAATTTCTTTGCCACGTCCCCTCCTCGCTAACCCGGTTAGGTGGGAAATCTCTTTCCCATTTGAATCAGGTCTTCAAAGAGATCAAATCTATACGAGTGTCATTTCAGTTATTGGTATTGTATTTTAATATGTAATTTTGAAATTTTGCCTGCAATAATTTATTATGTTAGGTTTCCCTATTGCGAATGGCCTTTAGCTTAAAGTTGGTAAAAAAAATGCATTTGTTTGTTAGGCTTGTTGACCAATCATGTCTCAATATCATTTATTTATTCATTGGCAGCCACCTTTTGGCTCGTTCCCTGACTTTTCTTTTGAAAGCTCAACTCTCTTTTATTTAATTGTTTGTAGGCTTGGCTTTACTCTGGTAATGAACTTTATTGAACTAGCGAAAAATATTTATGAAATCGACTTTAAAATTTATTGAAAAAGAATTTAGTTTGTTGCTTTTATCGTATAAGGATCTCTTCTACAATTGTAGATTGAGTAGTATATTTGAACTAGTAGTCTCATAGGAGTGAATGGTTTATTGCACGAGGGAAATTGCTCTATGATTCTAATGATTTACGAAAGAAGAGTTAAAAGTTTACGGATTGCTAATCGCATAATTCCTGATTTGTTATGTTTTTTTCTTTCATGTGCTATTTCTCATGTATGTTTCCGTATATTGAACCAAGTTCTACGTATCATTTAGGAGTGGAATTTCTATTTTCGTTCATAGTAAACTACTAGAAATCCACATCTAACTCACTCCCTATCAATTTGGTAGGCTCAAAAACTAAAATCAGAGTTTTTAGGTAAAAATTGATAGATTGTGTAGTTAAAAAGTTGTGGTTAAAATTAATTATTGACTTTGACTTAAATTTTAATGTAACTTTTTAATTGAAACAGACATGGACTTAATTTACGAGACTGAGAGAGGTTAAGCCCTAAGCATCACCCGCCCAGTTGGGGATTCCCCCACCCCATGCTTGCTTAGTTCTGGGCGATGGCGGGCAGTGGGCGAGGATGACGTGAGGCAAGAAACCCCATTCTCCTTTTACCGACCCAGGGCGAATTTCTTTGCCACGTCCCCTCCTCGCTAACCCGGTTAGGTCGGGAATCTCTTTCCCGTTTGAATCAGGTCTTCAAAGAGATCAAATCTATACGAGTGTCATCCCAGTTATTGGTATTGTATTTTAATATGTAATTTTGAAATTTTGCCTGCAATAATTTATATCGAGCTTCCTGATTTGCTGGGAGAAAATCCATAGATGGAAATTCATCGAGGTTGACAACTGATTTCTTGGTCTTGACTATCTAAACAACAATTATTGCATTTTTTTCAAGTATAAAATATCCTTTTCCCATTGAATTCTTTATTATTATCATTATTAAAACCATACCCGATTGACATACTACGAGTATTAAATAAAAGTATAAGTCGATTATACCAAAAATATAATTGGTAGCGTGTGAAGTAATTCCATTCAGTT